CGAAGCTTGTAAAGGCACAGATCAGCAAGTGGCTGAACGTGGAACGAGCTTGACCGTGCTTGATGCTCGTCATCACGCCAAGGTCAATAATGCAGAGCAGTGGCGTCCACCCTCGCTCATATCTGACCACGGCCAGGAGATCACAGCTAAGAAGAGAACCTAAAGCCACATGACACAATCTTGGTGGGGCCCAGAAAAAACGGGAGAGCGGGGAGGCCAACAAGCAGCTTGTGCTGGAGGATGTCTTCAAATGGCAAAGTATTGGATGTCAGAAAATACAGGCGCACGTGAACTCGTCCCCCTTGTATGATTGGCACCAGCTATCTTTCAGTTAAGAAATGTGCGGGAAAGAGTGCGGTGCGCCATCGAGCACCGCCATCCCACCGCCATAGTCAACTCGGCTTACGACCCGGTGCGAGACGTATGATGGCAGGTTGCTTCCACATAGCTGTATAGCTTACCCCCAGAAATCGAGAATATGCGACTGCACTTCGGAAGCCAGGGGGTGAGCGTAGACGGTATGCAAGCATTCTTCCAAGCACAGCCGTCTTTACCACAAACAAAACGTGACTCTGTACTTCCGTCTTTGCCTCACTGCACCTACATCAAAGAGCAGGTTCACCTTGTCGAGTGCCGCTGAGATCATGCTACACCCAGCGACGGCCTCGCAGCACCCTTGGCTGCTACCGTGCCAAGGGTTCTGGTTGGTGATGGTTGTCGTAATGGCTGATGGCTGGTCTACTACATGCTTAGCAATCATCCCTTCAGTAGTAAAGCTCTGCCGCCAGCCAGCGTTGACTGCATGCGAGCGTCGCGACGGCAGCAGTTGATGTGTGTCAAAAGGAAGCCTCGGTGTGGGCTGTCCCACGATACCCGCTAAAGGCCGTGGCTAGTTCGCTTCGAGGCATTACGCACCCGATGCACTTTCCGTAGCTGATCCCCACCAGATAACAGTTCGAGCCAATCACGCGCGTCCGTCTACCTGCCAGCAGTATGCAAGGGTCGCTGAAAGTGTCCGTGCTCCCAATGCTCATCCATCGAATGTGTGCGCCAAACTGCATCATGCCTATTCCTAGGATCGAGAATCTAGATGTACTCAAGCAGGGGTATCTCCGCAATGCACCGCACCCTCCCGTACGGAGAGATGATGACTAGTCCACGCCTCCAGCATCCACATTTGGCGTGTCTAGCTATGAAGGCTGCCGGATCCCTTACCTCAAATTGCTGCAAGGCACTTTCACAATATATAGTCGGCCCTGTTCCCATATCGATGTCGGCATAGATCTCAAAGGCCGGGCCCCATGGAGCATAGCCGCCACCTTCAGTCGCGGGCGGTCAACCACGAGCATTGTCCCAACGACAGCACATCACATGGAAATGGCCACACTCCTCGTCCTGGAGCACGTCCTGAGGGCCTGCCATATTATTTCCAGCCACCACCATCTGCCCAGCGGCACGCGCCTCTTGCTCCTTTTACCGTGCAGATCCTGGACTACGGCACTGCACCGCAGGCTCAGGCAAAGCAGGAGCGCGTCACCCAGGCCTGTAGCCAATGTCGTTTGCGAAAACAGAAATGCAGCGACATTCGGCCGTGCCAATCCTGCCAAGAGAATAACTTGTGCTGCGAAGACGCGGACGTTCCGCCACCGAAGTGCGTTGCCCGTTTGCTCCCTCTGGCTCATTACTGACTCCCCATAGGCAAGATAGAATGATGACGCAACTTCAAAAAAGTGTCAAAGGCGTATCTGACCTTCTGTCGCAACTTGTGGACCAGTTCGGCGAATGGAAAGCACGTGTTGATAGTAGGCTCCCACCATCACGGAATCACGAGATAATGTCGCCTTTGGGGGTGCAAGCCTCGGTTTCTATCAAGCAAGAACTTCAGTATGTGCCCCCTTCTCGACAGTAAACAACCCCTGCTGAGAGTGTGAGGCCCGGACGCAGCCATGTCACCGAGGAAAGCCCCACGGAGCGAATGGGTCTGCCGGGTAATCACACTACACCGGCGCACATGTTGCTGGACGAGTGGCTGCAAATGAGTATCTTCTGTGTAAGTATCCCGTACCTCAGAAGCCTGGTAGACAAAGGCCTTGGAGTCTCCGACTACCCGATGCAGCTTGAGCAAGACCGCGGACTACTGCGCATCTGGGGTATCGGGGAGGGCCGAGACTCGGATGACGGTGCTCAAGGCCCTGGAAGCCCAGGAAGCAGTACCGATTCGGAAGCGCCTTCACCAGCACCCGTCAGAGAAGGCCTTTGGGGCTATCCATCTTCCGAGGTCCTAGCTGGAACGAGAGTACCGGGTAGCACCCCTCGAGAATACTTCCTGCCTAAGCCGCGGCAGGAGAACGGGCTTGGCGCAGATGGTCGACCCGACTTTCGACGCCATGTCATGGTCGACCTACTCCGGTCGTACATGGAGATCATGCACATTTTCCATCCTTTCATGAACGAGAACGGACTAAGACGTATGTTCAATGACTTCAGTGATCAGTACAGTCCTGATGCGACGCCTTTGAACGCCCACTCGCCTGCTCCTGTTCACGGAGTGAAGCGAAAGCGGTCGGAGAGTAATCTTGAAGGACTCCCTTCGCGTCGGGGTGAGATTGAACGATCATTGTGCAACGCGATTATACTGCTCGTTCTTGCTCTGGGCAAAGTGTGCTCGTATAAAGACCCTTTGCCTGCGCCACAGGATGACCCACATCCTCACGTCCGAAGCGAACGGGGTTACATTCGAGATTCTCCCCCTCCCAAAGGTAGTTTCAGCAATTTCAACAGCAACATCTCTGACGAGAACTGTCCGAAGAACATTGACCTGCTACCTGGGTTGGCTTACTATGCCTACGCCACCGATATCCTTGGAAACCAACAGGGCGGTAACACTGTTGCGCATGCGCAGGCTATGCTGCTGGCTGCGCTGTTCTTCAGTCAGTATGCACGAGTACTGGAGAGTTGGAGCTGGATTAGTAACGCTTGCCGGGTTGTCCTGGTTCTCATCAAAGCCGACTACACTAAACTGCTCCGTGTGAACAGCGAAAGAAGACCTACCTGGAGCTCTGAGGAGCGCTACCGAATCAACAGCATCCTTTATGTCTACTGGACGACTCTGCAGCTGGAGTCCGATCTTCTAGCAGAGATGAGCACTCTGCCGCCTTCCGGCATCTCTCGATATCAGAGCGAGATCATGTATCCCGAAGGCGTCAACGAGAACCAGTCTCAGGACGAGGTCAGTAATCCCATTCGGCAGAATGACGGAGTCAGCGCCGGCTTCAGAGAAGGTTTGATCATGAAGCTGTATTCTTCGCAGAGCTTCCTACGCGTTGTCCTTAACGCAGCACACGACGCCTTGTACAGTCCCGGTCGCTGCATAGACTTTGGTCCTACTAGCTTCAACGAAGTTGCTAACCACGCATGTACCCACATGGAGACACTCGAGGGCTGGAGGAAACTGCTTACACCGGAACTGGTGTGGTCGGACGACGACTACCCCTCGACTGATCTCAACATCGCTCGTGTACGCGCCAAGTACTATGGCGGTCTATACATGATGCTGCGACCCTACCTCAGAATTGCGATCCACACACTCAATTTCTCACCTCCGCCTTCTAGAACGACTGGCGTTACGCAGCATAGTTTGCCGTCACGCTATGGAAGTGCAGCTCCAAACAGAAATGTGCAGATAGTTGACCTGGACGAAGACCAGCGCAAGATCATCGGGATCGTGTGCCGATGTATCGACGCCACTATCCGGAGTACCATCGCATTTGATCGTGTAGGCGAAGAGCCTGGTAGCCAATACCAATACTTCCAGCTTACGCGCAGGAAGAGGCTGATCGTGACTAACATTTTCGGTACACTGCACGCGTCAGTCTATGCTACCTAGATCCAAACTTGACACCGCCCGCTGACACTCAAGGTAGACAATTCGGCAACATGCTCGTCCTCGCCTCAGTATACAAGTCCAAACTATACCCCCTCCTTCCCAGCGACACATGGCTCACGAGAGCCAACCTGGCCGCCCTTTTCAAACGCACCATCGCGGTCATCAGCGAGGAAGCGCAAAACTCGCCGATTCTACGCATGGATCTCGAAATTCTCAGGAACATCCAGGAAAAACAGGGGCTCGAATAAGGCGATTGTCATTGGCGTGGAGTCTCCCGCCGAAAGTCGTAGTACCCCGCTCTAGCACGTGCTCTGAGATGCCCATCCACCAACTATCTCATGGCATGGCACGTTGCGATATGCCCTGGGCCGTATAGACTATGCATGACACAATAAACGATATACGTTGATGCTCTTGTTCCGTGGCACTGTAGTTGTTCGCGTGTCGTTGCTTTTACATCTTTCGTCTTGGTGGAAGCAAGCGCAGTGTTCCACTTGCCAGTCACATCCCATCACAGGAGAAGGGTGCCGTCTGCGTCGCTAAGCTACGATCCACCGCCTCTAACAGGAAGGTCACGGCAATAGGTAAAATACAGAATACTAATTACTACACAAACACAGAACGGAAACTAGAGACAGCATGATCTCTGAGACACGATTGCTACTGTGCAGAAGGTGTGTCTATATGCGGTACTAGCAGCGCTGACTACCACACACCAGCTACCCGCGCCAACATGGTTGACAGCGTCGGATGGTACCCATGAGTTGTTTACTACCAGCGCCTACCAGTCGGTGCTTGGCCCCTGTCAAAGCCGCAAGAATAAGATGATTTCGTTTTGAGTACGCATGACTAGCGAGAAAGGAGATGTTCTGGATGTGGGCTAGCTTTTGAAGGTTCCCACTACGCATGTGTGTAACTATCAACTCTAGCCGTCAAAGACTATCTCTCTGTCGTAGAAGGTGTTCGACATCATTGTAGTACCAAAGATCCCTCCCTTCTATCCGCTGCAACAGAGCAGGACCAAGTCTGCTAAGCTGCTGGAGAAGCAAGAAGTCGAGATTTGATGGCGGCCATTGACATCGCTAGGTTGACGAGTGCGAGAAGCAGCCGCTTGTTACCATCCAGACCGATGGTATTCGTAGGCGTTGTCATCAAAGAACTGGTTGTATGCGCTGTAGGGCGTGCTATCGTCTAGGAAAGTGGTGGTTCTGACGTGGGCTTGTTGCCCGCTGGTATTGAGGCCCTCGATATCATTAGTCGTCACGGCCCGGCGCAAGACTGGTAGGTTGACTGCGCTTTGTTGGCGGCCTGCTACCGCGTTTGTGGTGGCTTTCTTGTCCTGCCTCTCCCACAGCAGATTCTGTCTCAAGCTCCCAGCCAACTCACTGGTAAGCATGCTGCGTCTAGCTGTCTTGGGGGACATGGTGGATGGGTGGACGTCGGAGGTGGCCATGGCGATGGGCTTTGGGCGAGAAGCTTGCTCACGCATCATCAAGCTACTGTCTTCGTGAGGAGAACTGTTGGCAGAAAGGCCGTTGGGAGTAAGGGTGTACGGTTCCCCAGTGGCAGCTGATAACTGCGACGTGGCATCCTGCAGAGCCGATGCATGGTCATCCTGATGGAGGGCAGTTGTGATAAGAGAGCGGCGTGAGGCAAGACTGGTCTGTGATTCGACACGCGAGAACTGAGGGAGGGGCTCAAGAACAGTGAGCAGACCGCTCTCCTCGTTATCGCCATCGTCTTCCCACGCCTCATCAGAGTCTTCTTCCTTGATGGCGCTCTCGTCGACGCCGCTCTCTTTGTTGTCGCTCTCAGTGGCAGCCTTGCTTCTCTCGAGGACGCCGTAGAAAGTGTGTGTGCTAACTTCGCCGAGAGTGAACACGGGCTGTGTCTTCTTGCTGGCGTCGGCGTTGGCAGAGAGAGGCTTGGTGACGCGGCTAGAGGTCTTCTTGAAGATGGGAGCGAGGTTCAAACCGGTGCTGCGCCGTACTGATGTGGAGATGTGGCCGGGTTCGAAACCACGGATGACGGCATGCTCACTCAAGTCAGCAGATGCAATGGCTTTGGACCCAGCTGCAGAGCTTGCAACGAAGCAGCGTACTGAAGCGGCTTCTGTGGAGGAAGTTCTGGGCGTCTGCTCGACCGCAGACTGGGCTTTCTGTGCTGGAAGGGGCGGCAGCAGCTCAATGAGCTCCTTCTTTCGTATCGGTTGGATGGCTTTCTCGAGATGAAGAGGTGTTGTGTGCTTGCCGCGGACCTGGCTGGTAGCAGAGTTGTCGCGGCGCAGGCTGGGACGATCGGCCGAGAGACCAGTCCGGGAAATCGTGGTGGTAGCAGCTTCCGGATCAGAGTCGTCAGAGATAACGCTGGCAGCCAGCTCGGGCGCATCTATGGCGCTAGCCGGCAGTTGTCTCTGCGAGACCAACCAGGGGGCAGCCATGGGGTCTGGCTGGCCGCAGAGGGTCTCGCGGAAGCACAGCCGCCACGCCATGTTCCCGTAGCGTTTTCCATCTTGTAAGGCGAGAGAGCATTGTACGAAGAGCCTTAGATGGAGTTGGTGACCGTGGTGTAGTCTTGCAGTTCTGACGCTATGGTATAAGAGAGATAGTGTGCATAGCAGAGCCACAGCTCCTGCTTGCCACTCACCACTCCAGAAGCCTGGATGATTCTGCCTGCTGCGTGCTCCGATTGTATGTATTGAGCTACACTCAACCCATGCTATGATATGTTTCGCGCGGAGAGTTATTTTGGACGTTGTGCTCTGTGGGCTGTGAAATTCACGTAGGCGACTGTGATGCTGAGAGTCCACTGCTGAACACCAGCCAGGCGAGGAGATAGGGCAGATACTACAAACGGCAGGAGATTCTATAATATACTGTGAATACTATCTGTAGATTCACACAAGGTTGGCCATTCTCAGACTAGCTCCGAGAGGAGGGTCATATAGCAAACATAGTCTTGGCGAACGTGCTAGAGCTCGAGTCTTGATGACGATATACGGAGGAGTAAACGCGGGATACATAGAAAAAGGACTGTATGCACAGATGGTACTTCCAGAAAAAGCGAAAGCCACGCGAATCGACACGCAAGGCGCACTTTTGGCGCCCACCTCTTCCTGGGCCCCCTGGTCCTCGGCTCTCACAACCCGAGCCCTTGAACAAAGCATCTGGCGGAAGGAGTCGCACCCAGCATCGGTGAGAGTCTCAAAGAAGCGTTCGAACCTCCCACTGTGTACCGTCACTGAGTAGTGGGTCGTGTCTAGCGTGACGAGAGAAACCTAACGAGTGCACTCTTGTTGTGGTCTTCACGACGGGACAGCAGCGAGAGGAAGATGTCCCAGACAGTCGTCCCCACTGTCTCTCGCCCTCCATCGTGTGCCATTGATGTGTCTTGGGTGAAATGCTTGCCCCCTATATGGTTCGTCGTTGGGTAGACCTTGCAGGTGGCGTACAGCCAAGTGGGGTGGGTGCAGTAGCTCCAAACGCAGAGCAATTGGCGTGTGATCGAGGGAGCGGTCAGGCGAGATGCGAGATGGAATACAGAACCGATGTTACGGCATTGATCTCCCTGGCTGTTGGTCACGATCTACACGCTCGGTCGCTAGAGGATGCCTCCTGTTTGGCTACTTGTCGTCTCCACTATAATGCCAGTGCAACTTCCTCGCACCAGCCGTTCATGCGAGCTATACTAGTCAGCAAGTGGCTGTCACTCACTAGCACTCCTCTGCGAGCAAGCGCAAATCACTGCTCAATGCATCGTTTGTCGTGGGAGCGTCGCCCAAAGCAGCCAGCCCTAGACGGCTGTCTTTCTGGGAAGATTACCGAAGTTGAGTAGTGACAATAGTACAAGAATGTATGGGAGCGTCACGATGTCGTAGCCGCAAGAGTGGAGGGTCATCATGCACCGTGCATTGTCCCAGCAGCTCGGCGTTGTGACTCGTGCGCGCAGGCGCCTACAAGCCAGCAGCGCGTCTGAGCAAACGAGAGAGATTCGAGCGGGTTGCCCGCCAACCGAGCGGCGGCACGGTCTGGCATGTGGAAGCGTGGGAACATGTACGGGAAGCTTTTAAGCCGATGCCAGTGCTCATTTGCCATTGTATATCATCTTCTGACAAGAAAGCTCACCTAGCTGTCCAGCAGAAGCCGTCGTCTGCACCAGCCACCGTTCTGTTCTGCCTCTGAGAGCTTTCAACCTTAGCGTCGATCCGAGATACAGTAGCTTGCATCATCTCACGGGCTGGCGTGAACCCAGCCCCTCACCTCCATCCTGGATATCAACCTCCTAATCGAGCCTCGGGCTCGGGGTCCAAAGGCGCCTGCTAGCAGGAAGAGCTTCATATCCTATGCATCCGGCTCGACAGGAGCGACAAGAAAAGACCCGTCCACATCTCCATCATGCACATGGTCTCCCTCGCAAAGGGCGTCACCCACCTCCACTCCTGGAGCACCAGCATACCCAGGTCCTCAGCATTATGCGCCAAAAACCGCTTACACGCAGGAACCGACATCAGCTCTCCAAGAACTCGCGCCCATGCTAGGAGGACCTGTTCAGCCCGCCACATCAGAACTTCGCCAACACGCTGAGTCTGTCCCACTCCCGCACATTCGTTCACTCTGGCCCGGCCCATATGAACTCTCACCGCCGCTTCGCACGCAGAGCAATAATCACTTCGCCCCTGCAACACTAAAACGAAAAGCTTCCCAGACTCCGCTGCCTGACGAGCATGCAGCCAAGAAACAGTCGAAATGGACACCAGAAGAGGACAATCTGATCATCCAACTGCGGGGTAAAGGAATCAAGTGGGACGACATTGCGAAAGATCTGCCGGGAAGAAGCTCCATCTCCTGCCGACTGCGGTACCAGAACTACCTCGAGAAGCGAGCCATCTGGGACGAGGAGGAGAAGAACAAATTCGCAAAATGCTACGAGCGGTACGTACTACTCCACCACTCCAGATGCCCAGACTGCTCCGTTCTGATCCCCCGTTCCTTTGTTTTGATCCCACATCTTTAGCTACGACTTCACCCTAGCACCATCTGCCATTTTCGCATGTGACACGTCTCTGCGCGTATTCGCACGAACAACACTGACCTTTGCGCTAGCCTCAAGGAACAAATGTGGCAGCAAGTAGCTACACAGATGAACATTCCCTGGCGGTCCGCTGAGTGGATGCACTGGCAGCTGGGAGAGCAGGAGTTGAGCGCGCGCGCAAAGGCATCAGTATTCCAGCCTCACCCATCTACTACCAGTACAGGCATGAGCTCGTCAGCCCAAGCGCCCGTTGTACTCGCCTCTGCCTCGTATGGCTTTACGCCTTTCAACGCCCCTCAATCGATGTCGCAGCTGCACCAGGTGCCTCCGCCGATGTCTCAAGGACCCCCGGCGCATGGTTCTCAGCGGAACGATAGTGGCTTCAGCGCGAGCGGACGAACAAGCCTCAGAAGTCTGGACCCTCAATCTTTTTCAAGCGTTACTCCTCCAAAAATTGAGCTACAGTTTGATGAAGACTTCGGTGGGATAGCACCAGTGCCGGAGATGCAATCGGTCATCAAGCGAGAGATGGAGAACCCCAACTATACGGAGACTTACCATGTGAGAGAACAAAAAGACAAGGCTGCAGTTTTTCCGCAATTGGAACACGAGACAGGGTGTCGAGGTGCGAGGAGTCTCGACGGGATATTGCAGCGCAGCGCAACTGGAAGCAGCAAGAGCATCAAACGCGAGCCAGAGGAAACCGGACGAGAAGCCACAGTACCTTCCGCGACCCAGATGTGCGAGTTTACTGTTCGGGGTGGTACAAAGTCGGGACCAGACTCGTGAACGCATAGCAGTATGCGATGGACAAACGTAGTGACCCTGCATGCACCGCGAGACTAGAACCGGCTAGGGTGACATTAACGGGCTCCATCGTGTCTTGACTGCACCTTCCTCGCTCCACTAGGATGTCGGACGATGTATGCGAATGAGTTAGGTACCATCTTGCGGGGTGCGAGCTAGTAGCACCTTCGTTGGTGACAATGTGCTGCGCGCCCGCAGGTACATACAAGCGGAGACGATCGCTGCAGCCCGCTTCCACGAGCTTATAACACCTTCGTCCCGCTCCTTGAACGGCTGCGACCTCTGGTACCTCTATATTGACTGCCTCGACCGCCTTACTACGGAAGCTACTGCCTACGTGCCTGTCTGATGAGTCACACGTTGTGCACAGCCTGCCTAGCGCACTCGGCTAATCGTGGTTTGCTCGCGGCGGATCCCGCCATTCGCGAAAATTATCAACCTATACGATCTCCAGCAACAGTTCATTCATCGCGCAGTCACAATTCTTTCGGGACGAGCAATCGCAAACTCGCGACGTGGTCCTTTCCAATTGGACTGCTGATGACAACCTATGTGGCGCACGAGCTCGACCAACAGCCTACACACCACCCACAATCCTGCGACCCACTCCACTACCACTGCCAGCTTTAATCCTGCTGCATCGAGTTGAACACTTTGCGCACATCGCTCTAGGCCACTGTCTACCGCGCTCGATAGTGCCAGCCTGAATTGTTGTATGGAGCCCGCTGTTACTAAGAGAGTTTGGCGAGGCCACCAAGTCAAGTGTGCCCCGCACCTTTTCGAACCCCACCATCATCTTTCGGGCTCGCCACAGTTACATCACTGACGCCCGAACGATCTTGGTCTTCACCGCTGGTATTGTTCATTTATGAATTGAGTAGGTCTCCAGCACGAGAAAGTAATTCTATACGTAAGTGTTGTCGAGATAGCGCCGGCAGTCCGCTCGAGATCACGGGATGACTTAAAAATACAGTGGTAGGTCGAAGCCTCTCCACTAGGGAAGGCTTTGATGGGGAGCCCACATGTGACGAACCGCTTGGCACCCCTCCAATTCCATCTTGATTTGCACCCTGTCATAGAGCACGTTTGATCAAGCAACAACACCCTTCATCATCGTTTACGTTTTGCGTCACTAGGCTGTGCACTATCTCCCGGATCAGAACGTGCCACAATTCTCATACCAACCTACATTGTCGTCATCTATCTACCGAGGCCAGGTCACCGGTCAGTCGGACACCTACCATAAGTACGTGCGCATTGCGCCACAACGAATTATCACGACAAACGGACTAGATGCTCAAGTAATTTCGCGGCTTTTATGCAGTGCCACCGTTCTGACCGCTAGTAGGCTGTGCTAGGTGTCCAAACGTCAGCCTGCTATTGAAAGATCCACGCGCCATCCTAGGGACTTGACGACTACTGCACCGATTGTTAGCATACAAGGAACTGTTTACATATTCAGACAAGACCAGCAATATCATAACCGTCTTCTGCGAATAAGCCGCGGCTGCATACCCGCTTAGTAATCTGGGTCCGCTCTACGAGGGAGATCTACACATCTATCGCAAGTATGAACGTTCAGCGTTTGCAACGTCGACTAAC